AGAAATGCAGCCTAACCTCGTTTGTTATTGTTGTGGCTTCTGTTCTGTCACATGCAGAAATTTTCTCATCGCTATGGTTTTCAACCTGCAGCTTAGTTCCCATATCCTCAGCATTCTCTACCAATGCTTCATCTGGAAAGTTCTCGTTGATCTCGACAGCAGTTTGGTGAAGGTATTCGCCACTCTCGTTGCTTACCTGTTTTTAAATTGCATCAGTGTATGCAGTCCCCGTGTTATTTATAAATTTATTTACCATCCCAAACACAGGTTGATCTAGTTAGCCATTCTTATTGCAAAAGTATTTATGGGGCCTTTAAATTGTATTATAATCACCAATGAGATCTAACGTATCGCTAAAGGTCATTTCCATGAAAACAGAGAAGGCCTTGGAGGTCAGATTATGTAACCATTTCAAAACAGAAGCTTTAATTTTATATCGAGTGGTTAGGTAAAAACTATAATTTAATGGTTCTTCTGTATTTATAATCTGACTGACCTCTTCATTCTGAATTTCATTTTCCATCTTGTCTTCCTGACTTTTTTCAGCCTTCAGATCATATATTTGGCGGCTTTCTTTAGTTGTTTCTTCGCCAAGGTTTATTGGATTACAATCCTTGGTATCTTCTTTTTCCTCCTTGAACTGTTGTTTGTCCTGCTTGGTCAGCTGTTGTCAAATTTTAATACTTGCAGGAAAAGAAAGATAAAGGAGAAAAGATAAAAAAAATTCACGAGAAGCAGAAAGTGGTGTCTAGTTCTCTTTCTTACCTCTTCATTTGTGAGTTCATCATGCACGACTTCAGTTGCATCAATTGTTTTCTTATTCTGATTTTCCCTTGCCACCAAATCAGTTAATGCAGCCACTGTATGCTTTTCTTTTTTTATTTCAGCATGTTCTGACTCAGCGAGAACTTCGTGTTCATGAACTTCTGACACAGATTTGAAAGCCTCTTCACTTGTCTCAGCCCTGAGATCGGAGGTTTTTTCAAATGCTCCTGTTTCTGTTATTTCTGTCATCTTGTTACTTTCTGGTAGATATTCTTTATCTTTTATCTTGTTTTCGTATCCTCGAGGCTGTAGTGTTGAATCTTCATCTGGTGTCCTGCCTTCTTCCTCTTTGAATTCATTTGAACCGTTCTTCTGCATGTCTGTGCTGCATTCAACTCCCGAACCACATACTTCCTGCTCTTTAGTCTCTTCTTTTTGCGAGCATGTGTTTTCTGTTGTCTTTGGTGCAGAAGGATGTTCATCAACTTCTATTTCCACTTCTTTAACATGCTCTTCAATGTGCTCGGTAGTGGTTTTAGAGGTTTCCTCCTCCTCATGAATGTCTCGGGTGGCTTCATTGGCTTCTACAAGATCCGTGGGGACTTCTTTTTGTGATATCTCTACATCCATTTCCTGATAAGAATGGTTTGTTGAAATTCCGGATGCAATTTTTTTAATCCATTCAGATATTTATGCTTCATTTGTTCTTCAAAAGAATGAGAAAAGTTATGGAAAATTTAGTGTTCTGAAAAACAGACTCTTTAGGTTTTTCTGTCCTTTAATTTCTTTGTAGATCCAAAAAAGGTTGAAGTAAAGCATGTTCTTGCTCATTACATAATTCCAAGTTATCTTGATCCTTGTTTCATTTTCAAGAAGTGATTTTGGTGTTGAAATTATTTGGCTGTCACCAAAGCTTGAAGCTAGGTTTAGTGATTTGGATCAACACCAAACCTGTTATGTAAGAAACATCATTATTTTCAAGAAGTCATTGCTAGAAAATATGTGCAACATTGTTTGGCATCTCACAGATCTTGTCTGCATGAATCTTAGAAAGAGTTAGGGTTTTCAATGAAAGTGTAGTTTTCTTTTTGCCCTTTTAAGCTGGAAGGCTATTAGGTTTCCAGTGTATGGTTTGTGCATGTGCTTGTGTGTTTGGGGAGGGGGTTGAGCGAAGCCTTACCTCTTCTTTTACATTTGCAGCTTCTGTTCTGCCATCATTTCCAAAAGCTGTCTCACAGATCTGATTTTCAACGTGCAACTCCGATCCTGCTTCATCCAGAAAGGACTCCTTCATAGTCTCATTGTCAGCAGCAGCTAGGTGAAGGTGCTCAATGATTCTTTCAGTATCCATCTGCTTTTCATCTCCATCAGCCTTTTCAACTTCCTTGTATAACTATTTGCAAGATAAAAACTTCTTAATTTACAGCAATTGGAGAAGTTAGGTAAAAGTGACGTCTATATTTATAGTCTAACCTCTTCATTTTGAATGTCTTTGTGTGTTCCCTCATCTCCTAGACTTTCCTCAGCCTTCAGCTCATGCTTTTCCTGACACTCTTTAGTTGTTTCTTCAACAAGGGTTACTAGGTCACCATTTTTGGCACCTTCCTTTTCCTCCATGATCTGTTGGTTTTCCCTCTTGGTTAGCTATTATCAAACATTTTAGTACTTGCCGAAAACAAAGCAAAGGGAAAAAAACAGTAAAATGTACGAGAAGCTAAAATTTATGACAGACAAATGTACGGGAAGCTAAAAGTTATGACTATTCTCTAACTGACCTCTTCACTTTTGAGTTTATCGTGTATGATTTCAGTAGCGTCAATCGTTCTCTCACTCTGATTTTCCTCTGCAGCCATATCAGTTACTGTTACCTCAGGATGCTTTTCTTTGATTTCAGTAACTTCTGATTCAGCGAGAGCTTCATGTCCATGCACTTCTGAAATAGATTTGAATGCTTCTTTGCTTAACTCAGGCTTGAGATTGGAGGTTCTTTCAAATGTTCCTTCTTCTATTACCTCATCATGTATGATTTCAGCTGCATCAATTATTTTCTCACTCCGATCCTCTTCTGCTGCCAAATCAGTTATTGCTACCTCTAGATGCTTTTCTTCGATTTCAGTTTCTTCTGATGCAGTGAAGCCTTTGTGGCCATGAGCTTCTGACATAGATTCAAAAGCTTCTTTGCTTGTTTCATATTCTGGTGTCTGTAATTTTGAGGCATCATCCGGGCTCTTACTTTCTTCTACTTGGATTTCATTCACTCTATCATTCTGCATGCCTGTGTTGAGTTCAACCCCAAATCCTGAGACTTCAAGCTTGTTGGTCTCTTCTTTATGCAAGCATGTATCTTCTTTTATCTTTGTTGGAGAATAATTTTGTGGATCGGTTGGTATTTCCACTTGCACACACTCTTCAATGTTCTCAATAATCATTTCATTCCCACAATCCTTTTCCTTAGAAAGTAATGCCGCTGCCAGCATCTGATTTTGCTCTTTTAATTTCTCTTGCGGGACAATCTGACCTGAAGTACTCTCATCTTCTTTTAGTGCTTCAAAACCTTGAGAATTAGTAATGGATACTAATTTTGAACCTTCCTTGATTTCTTCTTTAGTTTCATCAGGAGTTTCACATTCTTCTTGTAGTACCTCCTTTGGACTCTGATTCTGTATATCTTTATTGGATTGAAGCTCTAATTGAGAGATGTCACGTTCCCTACAATCATCCTTTTGCAAGGGCACCTCTTCTGTGTTTCTCAAATCATCTTCCAGCAACTCCACATCCTTCATATTTTCTTCCCTTCTTTCAGTTGTTGCTGAAATTCCTTGCTCTTCTTTTGATACAACTTCTGGGGGATTCTGGTCAATAGCAATTTCATTTGCTGCTGCTTCAACACCTAGAGATTCAACTATTTCTGAGGATTTCTCATTTTCCTCTTTAATTTTGCTTGTGAACAGCTCTTCAGTACCATGATCTTTGGATTCATACGCTACATCAGAAGCTCTTTCATTTTCTTGAACATCATCTGCATCTGCGCTTTCTTTGACTACCTGCTCCCTCATTATGTTATCGTGATCATCAATTGGAATTGGAGATGCCAAGTTTGAGGGTAACTCAAGTCCCATGTTATCTTTGATTTTTTCTTGTTGGCATGCTTCAGCTTCAATTTCAAGAGAAACGCCATCATTTGAGGTAATATTAGATACTTGTACCGGCTTTTCATCCAGCTGAGCTTCTTCCAAGCTAGTCTTTGTTATCTCTACCATAGTTGTTGCCTTGATCTTGTCACAACAACTATCTTCTTCCTTTATAATCTTTATCATTTCATTTGACTCTTCAGCTGGTTTGGTGGTAGAGAGAACAGCAGTCATCCCATTATCTTCATCATTTATTGCTTTTCCAAGTGACATCTCCTCCATGGTTGGTGTCTCTTGAAAGTCTGAGTTCATAATTGCTGCTTGTTCATTAGACTCTGTTGCTTCATGGCATTCCTCAGCTATAAGGCTGGATTCTTTTACCTGCTGAGTAATGATGCTTCAAAAAAAAAGTCCATGGTGGAAATAAATACATAACATATAAAAATTATATCAAATAGTACTATTGTTAAGCTGACCTCATGAACCCTTTCATCTTCAGTGGATTTAGCACCAGGTTCCAGGGTGTCATTTACATCCTTTTCCGTGCATTTGAGAGTTTCATTACCAGCTTTGTCAACTTTTTCGTGTACCTGATAAAGACAGAGTGTCAAGAAACTGCGCCTAGGAGATGAAGTAAATCAGCAGAATTTAGAAGCTAATCATGCTTAACGAAGGGTTTGTATCTGACCTCTTCAGTTAACAAGACATCCTTTACAGTCTCATCTGTGTTTTGTGTTTCCTTGACATCACCTTCAGTCTCAAATCTCGGCTCTGTTTTCTCACCTGTCTCCTCTCGAACTTCTTGGGATTCTAGGGAACTTTGTTCTACAGATTTCAAACTCTTATTCTGAATTTCAGTAATGTTCTCAACTTTACCTGGATCTGTCTCAGGGATCTTTTGGCTGCTTTGATCTCCAGTCTCAGATTCAGAGACACCTTCAAGCTTCTTACCAGATTCAGATACTTCAAAATTCTGTTACAATCTGATGATTAGTATAAGGTTGCATGTGATCATAGAAAACAGAAACAAGAAGAGCTAGGTTGATATATAAAAAGTTATGTTGTAAGTTTTAAGCTCTTTGACACGACCTATAACTCAATTTGTTTGTTAACATAGGAATATTTGAGGGTGAGATAGTTTGGCTCGAATTTTATTGGTAAATACAATAGGACCGCTCATATTTTTGCTACATTTAATGCCCTTTTAAAGGATCCGTCTGCAGTGTCTCGTTTACATCATTAGGGATGGAGGAAAACAAATTCATATAAGCTAATTACTTATTTTATTGTTAGGAAGTGCAAAAGAGAAAAAAGAAAATTGGGTTGCTCTAACCTCTTCTGCTAGAACTCCATAGTCTTTGGTGCCAATAGCCTGCTCTTGGTTGTTGGTTCCTTCTTCGAGCTCAAATGCTGCTTTGTTTGCTTCAACATTATCTGCTAAGCTATCTTCATATTTCTTAGTAGAGTTATCTTCTTCCAGGATAGCCTCTTTTCTTTCTGCACTGGTTGCTTCAATACACTTTAATGCCTCATCTCCTTCATTTGTTGAATACTCATCTTCCAAATTCATCAGCTTGCAAATCTCTCCCTGATTGGCTAGGTCTCTTACTTCTGATGATTTTGAGATGTCTACGCCTTCTTGTTTTTCATTGTCTAGCTCATGATGCTCGTTCAGACTGTCGAATTGGTAAGACCCAACTTCTTCCTTTATACTTTCTATTCTAGGATCCACTGATTTAGAGGCATCTCTTGCATTGATGGGCATATCTTCCTTTAAAATGATTTCTATTTCCTGTGGATTCTGGGGAGTTTCTATGTTTTCATATGTTGTTGAATTCTCATCTGTTGCCTTGTTTCCTTCATTGGTCATGAGCTCAGGTTCTTTAGGTAGCATTGTAGAGCATTCCACCTGCTTATCATCTAAAACATCACCTTGAGATGTCTCATTAGTGGTCTCCTCTTTGTAATCTTCGCTTCCTGTTATTGGAGTTTCCTCATGCATTTCATTCTCTAGCTCTTCTGCTTCACTGGCTGCTGGAATCCCATGGTCCTCATTCTCAATAAAGTTGGAATCCTCTGGTTTGGCATCAATATCCACACTTTCCAGTGTAGTTCTTTCCGTGCTCTCTGTCACTGGTCCCTTCTCTTGAGGAGCTGGTTCGAAACTCTCTATTTGCCTTCTATCTTCTGGTTCAGCTTCCTTAAAGCTCGTTTCTCTTGTAATTCCTGTTGTAAGTTCTGAGCTAGAATCATTAACATCAGGCTGAACTTCTTCCAAGATTTCTCCTTTACTCTCAGACTCTAAGTAGGAGATTTCAATGGGGCCTTTATTGCTTTCTTTTTCTGAAACTCCTTCAGATGCTTTTACAAGGTAGATGTCACTATTTGGTCCTTGTTTGCCCCTTAAGGTCTCAAATTCTTGCCTGTCCACTGAACCTCTGGCTTCAAACGGTTCAGTGAATTCAGATTTTGAGTCCTTAACCTGTAAACACACGAAACTACAATTAAGCAACTAGAAAAGATGGCAAAACAGGAATGCAGGGTCCAACTCAGAAGCAGACCTCTTCGTATGGCTTTACTTTATCACTTTCATCTTCTGTTTCCTTGTGTAGAGGATTCTCTTCATTTGTGCTGCTTAGAGGTAACTCATAGCTGTCCTTAATAACACTACCTTGTTTTCCAATATCCCCATACTCAGCTGTTTGAATAATCTCATGTACCTAGGTAAATGATGTGGTATTGATTGATTTAGAACTGAATGAGAATATACGAGACATAGAAATAAGAGCAGATAGGATAAAAGTTCGATATTGAGTGCTGGAGCAGTAATGTTCAATGTACCTCTTGTTCTACCAACATTCCTGATTCGTCACCTTTGTATATAATCCTAGACTGGTCATTAATAGCACTTTCCTCCTCTGGAACCTTTTTCTCAGCGTCCTCATCTACACTGGTTATCACTGATTCTTCCATCTGTACAATAGATGTTGAATATGAATTAGAGGGACGTTAACATGCAACAGAAACATGAATAAATTAACTTCTCAAGCCAACCTCCTTTACAGTTTTTGCTTTTTCCTCAGCTGTTTTTTCTCCAGTGGTTTGTGGTGAGATATCTGTATTGGCGTGTTCTTCAGTTGTGACGTGTTTTTCAGCATCCACACTCAAGCTGCCAAGCTTGGTATCTCCACATACCTGCATGCAAAAGAGGCTCACACTAAGTAAACAATCAGAAGTGGGAAAAAGAGTAAATGGCTTGAGATTAAGTGAAGATTAATGTATTTAGCCGGACCTCTTTGACGTCTTCATTCTTTGTTTCCTCTTCTGTATTCTCCCTCTTCTCTTCAACCTCCAGCTTCTGTATGGAGTCCAATTCAAATTTCTTTCCGACTGTTTCAACTTCTTTTCCACCTGATATAATATTTTCATCCTCCGCATCATTCTCCACGCTTTTGTTTGCATCAGATGCTTCTGCAACTAATTTGAGATCCTGCGTCACGGTTAAATCACAATGTCATTAGCGTAGCTTTTTTTGAGATACAGCCAATCACATTAGTGAATGAAATCAAGAGGAAATAACAATTATGTAAGGTCACTTCGACTATTACCTCCTCCATTACAGCTCTTTTAACTTGGGTCACATCTATATCTTCACTTCCTTCTTTCTTTTCTTTCTCAATGGTTTCTTCAATGTTTTGGTTGGTGACAACTTCTTCCTGGCTTGTAATATCATCAATCTTGTCACTCAAAGTGTCCGCCTCAGTTTCAGCAGCCATAACAGTTGATGACTCTTCAGGTTCTCCTGGTTCAATTCTCTGCAGTTCTTGTTTAGAATCTTCTTGGACCTTCGATGCTACCCTTGCGCTGTCCAGGTTAGTCACAGTTAGGTCAGGATTGCTATCGTTTCCATCATCTGCTCTGTCCAAAGGTCCATGCTCTTTTTTCTTTTCTTTCTCTACGGTTTCTGCAATGTTTTGGATGTTGACCGCTTCTTCCTGGCTCGTAACATCATCAATCTTGTCACTCAAAGTGCCCACCTCAGTTTCAGCAGCCATAACAGTTAATGACTCTTCAGGTTCTCCTGGTTCAATTCTCTGCAATTCTTGTTCAGAATCTTCCTGGACCTTGGATGCTTCCCTTGCGCTGTCCTGGTTAGTCACAGTTAGGTCAGGATTGCTATCATTTTCGTCATCTGCTCTGTCTAAAGGTCCATGCTCTTCCTTCTTTTCTTTCTCTACGGTTTCTTCAATGTTTGGGACTGTGACAACTTCTTCCAGCCTTGTAACATCATCAATCTTGTCACTCAAAGTGCCTGCCTCAGTTTCAGCAGCCATAACAATTGATGACTCTTCAGGTTCTCCTGGTTCAATTCTTTGCAATTCTTGTTCAGAATCTTCTTGGACCTTCAATGCTTCCCTTGCGCTGTCATGGTTAGTAACAATTAGGTCAGGATTGCTATCATTACCTTCACCTGCTTTGTCCAAAGATCCATGCTCTTCTTTCTTTTCTTTCTCTACGGTTTCTTCAATGTTTGGGACTGTGACGACTTCTTCCTGGCTTGTAACATCATCAATCTTGTCACTCAAAGTGCCTGCCTCAGTTTCAGCAGCCATTACAGTTGATGGCTCTTCAGGTTCTCCTGGTTCAATTCTCTGCAATTCTTGTTCAGAATCTTCTTGGACCTTCGATGCTTCCCTTGCGCTGTCCAGGTTAGTCACAGTTAGGTCAGGATTGCTATCATTTCCATCGTCTGCTCTGTCCAAAGATCCATGCTCTTCTTTTTCATCATGTGTTGAAGCCTTAGCTGTAGTGATGTTCTTATCCTCACCCTCGAAACTTTCATCTATTTTATCCACGGAAATGGTAAGACTTGAGCTGCAGTCTTCATCATTCGTATTTGTTTCATCAATTTTTTTGGATGTTTCCTCGTCACTCTTCTCTAGATCCTCCTCCAGCTTGATTTCTCTGGAATTATCTCCAACCCTTTTAAACCCTCTAGCCCGATCATGTTCTTCCTCCTCTTCTGGCGAAGCTTCTGCTGGAATTGTGTCCTTACCCTCACCCTGCACAATTTCCACTTGTTTCACTGTTGAAGTTTCAAGGGCTGCGTCGGGGCTTCCATCATTCCGATACGTTGCATCTATAATACTCTCATTTGTTCCAGTTGCCAAAGATTCCTCAGAAATCTGCTTAAGAAACAAAAAATTTTCAGTCAACAAACAAGAGTATGAAATAAATTGATGGAGAAAAAGTTTACACTCACCTCTCTTTTGAACTCCTCAACATTATTTTCATCATTCAGCAGTTTGCTAACTGGAACTTCCTTGATAGATTCTACTGGGATGCTTTTAGCATCGCTCTCATCAATGACCTGTTCCTCGCCATCTTCTTTTCCAGTTTCTGCCTCCTTTCTGACGCCTTCAACACCCTCATCCATCTCTTCCTCAGTTTTCTGAGTCGTTTTATTCAAAGCAACTTCCTCGGTTTCCGCAGATATCATGCTAGCTGAACTTTCAATATTTTCTCCTGGCTCATTCATTGACGATATTTGTTCTACATCTTCTTCATCTTTCAATGTCTCCTTCGCTGTCGAAGTTTCGAGAGCTGCATTGGGGGTTGTTCCATCATTCTGATACGTCGCATCTGTAATAATCTCATTTGTTCCAGCTGCCACAGATTCCTCAGAAATCTGCTTAAGAAACAAAAACTTTTGAGTCAACAAACAAGAGTATGGAATAAATTGATAGAGAGAAAGTTTACATTGAGTCAACAAAC